ACTGGTACTTCAGAACTTGAAGTTATTTATGGACCTCCACTCCGTTGGGCGGGTCAGTTTTGACAGACAATTGAACCCAATACACTGAGGATGCTAGAGTAGTGGGCCAGCTAGACTGCTTTTCGAAGTGCTCCGCCGAGCATTTTAGGCGTCTTTGGAAATTGTTTATCGGCGCACCATCTATCTCACAGTCCGTCCCACTAACACCTGCCTTCTTGCTGCCAGTGGCTAAAGTGAGTCAACTATTGCCAGATGCAGCTTCCAACTCACCCACACGTTCTGATCACCAAGCCTCAGGGTCCTATCGTAAGCGTTGTGCAATCCTTCGCATGAAAGACTAACGCAAACCACTGATCTCGCTATCCGCAGGAATGATCCGACTGGCGTCAAGAAGTTGCAAGGACTTCACAGATACCCACTGTTTATTAGTGAGACGTTCTTCCAAGCCGCAAGCGGCTTAACTCTCCATTTTCATGGCGTCTTGCAACTGTATTCAATGCTCATTTACACTTTCTGGAGGATCGGTAGCTAGCTTGAAATCTAGTTCGGATTAGTATTTAGCTGTAACTAATTTGCTTGCGTCGACTTGCTTAGGAAGACAAATCTGATGACCACTAAAAAACAAGACGAGTTCAACAAACACTAAAGCATGATCAGGGTCCAGACAAGTACTCGATATGGGCTGCGATCCGTCGGGTCATAGGCAGAGATGCCAAAGAGATATCGTTTCCCTTGACGGTTACTTCTTACTTAAGGTGAACTTTCTAGCTTAACAGCACACAGAAGACTGTTGATAGGTATCTAGTCAAGTAGTGCAGCTTCGGCTTGAGCGCTTAGGTGTGACGCCGGTTCTCGAAGCCACAGGGTCACCGGATAAGCATAAATGAAATATACTTTTCGAGCTCACAGATCGGGATCTAATCTGAAGTACTTCGCTGGGATCTTGTAGGCAGGTCTCTGAGAATCAGCAAACATCAATAGCGAGGCCTTCCAGACTCCTGGCCGAACCTGCCTGTTTTCCGATCTGCATTAGGGTGCGGACGTTGAAGAGGACGAGCTTAAATGGAATGCGTGGTTTCAGGATAGTTGTGTCAGGTGTCTTGCTGGAGGACAGCTTTATGGGGACAACTGATTAGCGACTCAAGACGGTACAGAAAGACCAGAAGTCTAAGCGATCGAGAGTCTCTGAGTGAAGTGAAGATAAAGACAAAAGAGAAAATGATGATGACAAAGTAATACAGTTCATATGTAAAAGCAACAAAAATAATATAATCGCGAAAAATTGAGCAATTGGTTATAGAGTTTGTAGTGCAGAGAGCCTGAGTATTAAAGATCTTCCTTTTATACCATAAATTAATATTTTGTGTGACGGCTGAGATAATGCCCGGTAACCCAGAATGAATAGGTAGTTGTCCCAGAGGACCAATCTCCGAGTCTTTGGTTTAGAGTCTAGTCCACAATGCAGTGCAGCAACACCAGCATCTGCACTCCCATGGTCGCCGATGACCAAAATAGGTTCATACACCATTCTTTCCATCTGGAACCTTGAGTCCATTGGTTTGGAATCAGGGTTTTCCAACTCCCCTACGTGAACCATCCGTAACCACCAATTTGGTGATAACCACCGGACATTAGCTTTCGCCCTTTCGCTTCGACGGAAACACCCCAGTGACGTGAAGACAGCGAATAGGTTTCTCTGGTAGAGCTTGAGAACGCATACCAATATATTTGGGGACTTACCCAAACTATTGTACTCGCTATTCACCGGACGGTTCCACAAGCGTCAAGAAGTTGCAAGCAGACCGTAGGTACCCAATGTTTGTTAGCGGGAGGAAAAGTAACGCAAATGTAAATTGGCCAGTTGTGTACGCAGTCCCCGTGAAGATTGACGGGCAGTGAACACTAAAGAGATGGAAAAGGCAGCGGTGACAGGCAACAACAGACAGAGTTTTAGACTTATCAAGAATACTGGAGGGAAAATTCTAGTGGTTTGTGAGAATTTAGAAGAGAAGAATGGATTTGCAATTCACTCACAGGGGACTCGGCTGGAACAATGGACAGAACACTTCGAGGGACGGTGTAACTGGCCTCCATCTACGATTCCGTTGTGTGCTTTCTACTCGGATCCTGAATGAAATATCGAGATAGGGAGTTCAAAACTTGTGAAAGTTCAGAAGGCTATAAGTAACCTGAAATGAGGAAGGGCATCAAGACCAGACAGATCAGTTCGAGAGGTATTTTAGGAGGTTGGTCGCGGATTATTGGACAGGTTAACTGAAGTGTTCGCTAATGTATGGAAGTCAGATATAATCCTTTTTGACTGGTCCCCATTACTGTTTGTTTCAGTCATCAAGAGAGAAAACACCTAGTGATGGCCACAATCGAACCTGTCTAAAGATGATCGTATATAATATTCCACGTTGAGGAACAAAAAACTTGAGAAAACCAGACAGGGTGCAGGCCTGGCTATATTGACCAGATATCCACCTCCCGCCAGGTCCCGAAACACAATTAGACTTACCGAACGCATCTCTCATTCGAATTCCACGACTGACAGGTCTTATGATAATGTCTCTCACTGAAATGGCAGCAGATAAATCAGCGTATCGAAGTTTCTGTACTCGAAAACCCGTAGGCGTGTTGTAGCCTATAGTGGGTTGTGTATGTTGAGTGGTTTCTGTCAAGGGGGTCCACTCTCGCCATTATTATTATACTTTATCATAGTCATTCTTACGGAGGTCTCCTTTTCGTTAACTGACTTTAAAGCGTTTGATATTTTCACCGAAGACTCTTTAAGTTTACTGTACGCATAACTTACTGGCTCTAACATACTCGCAAGTGTTTGAATGCAGAGAATTCCATTGATAAACGTGAGTAAATTCTGTGTTTTACTAGTTAACGGTTCACATTTTTCTTCTATTCTCCTTTCACACATTTTTTGCTTCTTGACTAGACGGCCTCACATACTTGCAGGTTCGAAACAAACTTAAAAGTAGCTCGTCGTTTCGAAGCTACGGGATGAACTGTGAGGATAAAAGGATCATACGACTCAGTAACGTCGGGATTTTTCGCCTTTTACGACAACGATTTCAATTATAAATAAAGTGATGAAAATGAACGCTTCAAACATACTTTATTTCAAAACCACACTTGAAATCGTATTCATTATGAAGCAACTGATTTCCCCATTTCAAAGTATCCTCATGTACGTAAGCTTTTTGATGTTAAGACTCATTAGGTTACATACAGCTTAAGACAACCCAGTAACAGGAACTCATAGAATGTTCGCCATATGTAGTGTGTGTAGAATTACTGCGGTATCAGAGTGCTTGATTCTAATAAATAAAACGGAGTTCAGAACACCAAGTTAAGTTTTGGAATTTAGGGTTTAACTTATGAACTAAAGATAAAAGAATTGATCGATCAAAACCCACGAAGGGAGTAAAATCAAGGCATTTGAGTATAACTGAAGCATTAACCATTGAGAAGTTCAAACCAACGTTATGTGTTTAAGTTGTTTGTTGAACTAACCAGATGCACACTTGACTTCAAGAACTTATGATATTCGAGTGTCTACTATTCTAATTTGTTTCAATCGATCAAATCACTGAAGCATGCAGCTCAGCGTAAATTTGTACGTCTATGCACAGCATAAGTGCAAATCAAAAACTATATGAGGAGATTCGCAATTGCCTGTTTGTTACATTTATAGTGTGATTATACTATTCAGCTACTCAAACCTTAACAGTCACAGCAAAGTTCGAACTTGTAGCTGAATGTCATAGAGTCTTCGCTAGTGAGTCAGAGCTCCACAAATATGATAGTTAGTTACTTCAGTAAACTATATCAGATTTAGTACTGTTGAGTAGCGATCCCACTTGCTACACCTTACATCACGATGCAAGGCAACAAGAAGAGAGGAAAGTGGAGGGAAAGCAGTCAAAAAGTCGTAGGTCATCATAAAAGAAGACGAAGAAGAGGTAAAGCGATAAGGAAATACATCATGACGATCACAATGAAACTAGTGTGTGCCTGCATCTACACTGCTGAGATCCATTCTGTACCATATGGCTAAGAATCATGCGGACCCGATTCAGGAGACCTACATTTTCCTACACGAATTAGGTCAAGAGTAGAATGGTTACATGAACTGATGCGATGTTTTAATCTGGCTACACTTGATTTTTATCGGTTACTGTAGTGATTGCTATAGATCTTTTTACTAGAGTGAAAAAGATTGGGTATTATGCAAATACTTCAAACTGGCTTTCAATAGAAACGCAAGTAGTATACGTTTCTGTAAGTTTAGCAGTTACAACAGTAGACGAAAGATATTTACGTGATAACGGGAAAGACAGATATACGAGAGTAAAGGAACAACCAACTATAGTTTCATATACTTAAGTTGAAAGCGGGTTTAGAGTGACTTTATTAAGACATAGCACCAGTTGACAGATCCCCTGACTGTTATTCTGAAGCATGTAGGGGGATGTAGACTTCATCACTGGGGTCTCCGAGACGACAGGAATCAGTGGTTGGAGACTCTTGATGATATGCCTAAAAATCGTTCACAGTTGCGCAGGTATATTTACTCTCTGATGTCTTCTAAAGCTTGAATATATGCACTGACAGTTATCTTCAAATTGTTTGTTCTCACTTCTACAACTTTGTCTAGTTTGATATCACACTTATCCTTTCCACTTGTTCCTTTTATACTACTGTAAAGTGTGGTAACTTGGACCAATGCATTTGTGCGCGAAGTTTTACGTTGATAGGAGTGCCTTACAAATTACCATTTTCATTAGTTAACATTAAAATTTGTATAAAAGATACTTCTTACTGTAGGAAATCGGTCTAGTCAATCGATATCCAAAACATAACCATCCTTAGTATCAGTATAAGTTATCAAAACCATAACACAACTTTCGTGCAATTAAATATACGGAACAAAATTATCGTTGATACTACACATTATGCCACATGAAGAGAAAAAAACTACACAACAAGCGTTTTCAGTGTATTTGTATATGATAGAAAAACTTTATTTCAAAAATCATAAATAAAACTAGAAAAACGTACACAATCAGAATAAAGAATTAATAAATTATTTTATTATCACAGTATGTACAAATTAGTTGTCAGATGGAGATGTCAAATGGCAATGTATCAAAGAAGAGAATTAGCATCATCACAATACATATTGGATTCAACGGATTTGTGCTCGTAAACTAGTTATACGATCGTAGACTTCTCTGTTTATCTTCCCAACCTCTTGTTGAATATACAATAAATCATATACTGACTTCTCACGAACAGCTAGTTGAATAGCTTCTTCAACTTTTCTAAAATAATATGATATCAACATAAGTAGAAAAAGCGAAAAACTTTATAAACATAATCACTAAGCATTTCCTTTTTGATATAGAATAATAGATAATCAAATAAAAACTTTCGATTAGATAGTCAGATAATGATATAGACGAGACTAAGGAAAGTGGACTTATAGATTTAGTACTAAAAAGTTATGAAAGAATACCAAAAAAAATCCGAATAAACAATCGTTGACACCTCATTTACACGTATAACAATCACTACTTTTTTTGCTTAATAAAACCACTAGTTGAACGAATTTCATTGAAGATAAACTCCAGACTTCATTTTCAACTGTCATGTTACTGTAAATAATAAATCACTTTTCTAACTGAAACAAGAAATAGAAACTTTATGTATCATTATTCACTATATATGTATATTCGATTTAAAATTACGACTGGAACACGCTGGTAGACTGGCTTCAGGTAAAACAAATCATATGAGAGCATCAAACTGCAACACTACGCTACACATCATCATAGAACACAGCATAGAATCCAAGTCAACTGCATCTTTACCTCTACTCCATACACTCTGAAACAGTGTCGATCAACAAGTAATTTGGAAAGCAGCTGCTTCAACACTACGGTTTCACTGCCACAAACATTTATCAACCTCATTCAACAACTATATCCTATGCTATATGAAGATGCTACATGCCATGTGATTGATTCACAATCGAAAGCTCAGTGATACCTTTGAAGTGAAGTGAAGACAGGAGTTGGAAAAAGTTGCCTAATATCACAGATCATCTTCCTGATTGTGGTCGACTGGACAGGACTCAACTCATTCATGTAACAAATAATTGTGACGAGCGAGAACATGGGCATACTCTGTTTGACCGATAAAAGTAACCTAGAAGATTTGGATTTCACCAACGATGATGATTTATATCTAATGTCTTTTCGCACTAACTCGAAGATCTACATGCGAAAACTAACAAGTTGGCAGAAGAGGCGAGGTGATGCAACGAAGGTAGACGGGACTTACTTCAGGTGAACGTAGAGGAGACAGAGGTGATGAAGACACTTACCAACAACAACAACAACAACAACAGCAAGCACCTATCACCATGAACGAGAGGAATCTAAACCAAGTTGTTGCTTTCACCTACTCACATACCTACCTACCTACCTACCTAGGCAGCATCGTTCCAACTACACGCGGCGGTGATGGCACAGATAAGGATATGAAAGACAAGGTCAGAAAGACAGTAAGATAAGCCTTCATCAATCTGAAATAATCAGTGTGGAGGTCTACTGCACTGCACTCCACTCCACTCAGCATAAAGTGTGAACGAGATCCCGATTTTCAACACTAATGTCAGTCAAGTAAGTCAGTGCTCCTATGTGACGGTTGAGAGAACTGGCGTGTTACGAAAACCATTCCCAACAAACTGTGAACATACATCACCAACAATTACTTGCACTCGCTCGATACTGAGGATCAGATGGTGAGAATGAATAAGCAACAAGGAACTCTGGTATGGCAACGAACCAACCAAGAGCCCATCGCCCAATAAATATGCAGAAGAAAGTGGAGATGGATTGAATTAGACATACACTGAAAGGACATTAATTAGATGAATATACTTAATTACTTAAGAATTATATGCCTCACGATTAAGCTTGATTTTCTTATGTCTACTAAGGACAATGTGAAGATTCACTTGGTGTAAATTTTTACCACACTACACTTCTTCGAAAAATGAATTTCCTCTCCTCTTTACGACCACTTTGATTTTCCACAAGTAATTGATAGTTTCATACAATTATTTTGACCATCTGATATAGCCGTGGTTTAGCATATTAGTATTGATACTGGGTGATGGGTGATTCAAGGTGAAATGAAAATTTGGACCGCGGTCGGATTCGAATAATCGACCACCGGGTTTCCTGCCTGATGCTTTACCAACTGAGCTACGAGGCCTGTCTGCTGACCAGATTTTTATTTCATTTCAATTACCAACGGCTTTGTTGAACTACCATGTAAATTCGTGATAATGCTTGTTTTTTTTTAACAATTTACGACAAGGTTGATGTTAGATTGTGATAAATATATTAAACGACAAACATTTTCCAACTAGTTAACAAATAGTTTCAATTATATTGGTTTTAAAAAACTTACCCAATCATTAATAGAAACCGTACTCGCCTCTCAGGTAGCAGTTTAGGAATCAACTTCGTTGCTTCTTCTATGCGATTGCTATCGATACATATTTTAATCAACAGCTATTTACATGAAACAAGAGTGAAAGTGGGATAAAAAAGTTCCAATCAAACTATTTTGATCTTTAACTTCAACAAAGAATAATTATCAAGTCTTATATGGTAATATGAGTGTCTCAAACATGTTTGCACTCCAGCTACTTGACTGACCGCTTATCTCCTGCGTAAAGAAGCCAAATTTGCACTTTATACTTTATACTACTTATTAATAATGAGTACTAGTTTCAAGTAGACTTCATTTCATCATCTTGCAGGCGCGATTGCGTACCATGTTGCGCTATTTTGCTTCCATCTACTACCTTCTTTTGTTTCATTTCTATGACGATATTCCACTCTCATAAGTTCCCTTCGTATTTTTCTTTCTGCTCATCGAGCCTTTGGTTTTTCTTCTTTTATGCTCCTCTTATTCTCAACAGCGGTTAATTTTATTTCTTGACGCACATACACATTGCTTCTGATGGCATATAGTAGACACCCCAAACAATTAAAAATGTAAGCTTTGTTATCTTCCTAGTTATTATTGTTAATTTTTAATACATAATAGTATTTTAGACAAATTCCATGTTTTGACTCCTGGGCATTATAGGTAACTTGGGAGTTGTAGGCCAAGTGAACTTCAGTGGCAACCAATCATATTCAAGCATACACCGGTCAGTTAGAATAAATCCAGTGAAGGACATCGTATTTGATGAGAAAAACGGGTGTTTTACTTGAAATTTAGAAATCCGTTTCATATGAAATATAAAAATATATAGATTTTCAATAGCTTTATCATCTTTGCAAGCATATTTCAGCATGTTATATCATTGATCTATATAGGAACATATAAGATCCTTTCGTGGTCCTGTTAAAAGTCTTAAGAACTTACTCAGATGAATTCATATATTTTCAACATTATTTGCGTGTACACCGTTCTTCAGATCAACGAAGTGCTTCTATTTGAACAATAATTCGATGGGGGTAACCCGTTTCATAAAATAACATGTATAACTTCCAAGTATCTGTGTATATGGTAGTTCCTCGTTCAACCCATTTTTCTACAACTGGTGGAACAGATTCTTCTCATTTATCTTTTATCCATTAAAAATGTCCTTTTTTCGAAAGTCTATCTATCGTAAATACCAAGAATTTGCGATCTATCAAGACAAATGTATGTAACCTACCTAGTTATGTTTAAGTCGTCTTCCTCGCCTATATTTACGTTTCTGAACAAGATATTTTAATTATATTTCCATCAGTCCATAGATTATCCCGGAGAAATATCCATCCAGTATTGATACCATTACACTGAAGAAACTTCATTAGGATCTGTCAGAACTCCAGCTGATATTAGAGGTGTTCTAACAAGTCAGTGTAGTACCAAAATCACTTACTTATGGGAAAATTAAACGATATCTTTTAAAAAACGATCTTCTGTTCTCAAAGGTTTTTTCTTCTAACAGTTGGAACAACGCAAGATGAAACTTTTTTCACTGTTAAGTACACAAACCATTACAACATCACATTCACAATTTAGAATTGTAGCAAGTAATCTAACTCTGTGCACATAACCGACAACTTAGCTTTCACCATAATTCACCAAAAGATTATGTAGCGTTAACAAAATGGTAGACGGACGCAGAGTGACCTTGATACAGAACCTGCAAACTCATTGGTTGTCTTTAAAGTTTCCCATCAATAAAGTTTAGTTCAACCGGGTTTTCTTTGAAATTATTGCAGCTTTATTTAAATATCTAATCTTGGAATTCGCGGTTGAAGTTCACAGTGACATGGCAATATATTGCAGCGATGTTATGATTCAATCAATAACAAGAAAACTATGCGGTAGAAAGAAAAGTTTAAAAATGATGCTTAATAATTCAACTTTGTGAAATGATTTATTACCTCAACACTGACAGGAGATTTTTTAGCTCGAATCATTTTATCCATTTCCAACCAAGACTCATTATTTACTGCCATACCAACAATACGCAAGAAAGCAAAACGTTTTTCTGAAACTCTAAATTCTCTACGTAATTGATCAGCTTGACGTTCACATTGACCTGAAGCTAATAATCGACTAAGTGTTGTATTTAACGATTGACCAACCCAAAGTTTTTCATGTATACTGCTTCCAGTTACTACGTTTTCTGGTAATATACGATTTGAACCAGGAATTGCTTGAATTTGAAAACAGGTGCAGAGATCCCCTGTTTTTCAAGTTTACTTTGAAATTTTAGCAGACGAATTTGTGCATTACATTCCTGGTTGAAGAAAAAAAGATCTGATGAGTATAAATTTCATTGATTATACAAGTGATTAGTTAAATGGTAATTAGAATTAGAATCCAGTTTTCAAAGTCAACTATGGGAAGTCAAATAGCTGTAGGTTATGAATTTAAGTATGAATAGGAACATCAACATACACTGATGCAAGTAAATCCAATAGATGAGTGGAGCTGTGACCCAGTGTTTTAAGGAAGTGACTATGAACCAGCGAGTCACGGGTTCGAACCCCACCCACCTACTAAAGTTTGGGCAGCCAAGTAGTATCACTAGCCCTCACATAAAGTGTGACTCATTGCCTACTGCACAGATTTGCGTAAGGTGGCTGAATGCGTTTCATCATTCGTTCATTCAAATAAAAATCATGAACTCAGTAGTAAACAACGATGGATAAATTCCACTGAATTACGAGGCTAACAGAAGATATTTTTGTGAAGATCTGATGACGACGTCTAACATGATATTGAAACGTTTGCCAATTAAAACCCTGGTCCAAACAACAATTCACTCTGAACAAATTAACAAGCCTCATAGCTCAGCTGGTATAGCATCAAGCCGAAAAGTTGGAGGTTTCTGGTTCGAATCTTGCAGCGGCCCAAATTTTAGTTTCGTGTTCAACCAACACCCAGTATGCCAAACCACGGCTATCTCAGATGGTTGAAACGAAATCCGAAGTTAAAGCTCTCCCTTTCATCCAAATCTAGACTGTAAGAACATCTTCTAACTGAAGAAAATACTTTCAAAAATGTTTTATAAAACAATCCCCTCACTTCCGGTTATAAAAGGTAACTCAAGCGTATATACAAAATTATGATTTCTTTAAGAACTTTTCAAAGTTGAAAAAAAGCCAAAAAAACTTTTATATGATGTAGCATTTTAGTGCATTTAGATTATGAAAGATGCATATCATATGAGAAAGACGCGTAGAACACTGTTGTTGAAATTAAGACTAATCGATCTTAGGGTGATAATTTAGTGATTAAACCCACTAAGTGACCAGTCTGTATATCCAAGATGCAGATACCAGGCACTATAACATAACAGTCCTGATTCTTAGATAAATCTGTAATATATTTTCGAAAAATACGCAAATTTGTGGTGACAAATACTTGTAGCTCAGAAAGTAGACTTTTAAATTAACGGAACATAAGCAGTTTCAAATACTAAGAAAATGATTATCATCGAAAATAGCTACTGGATGAACTTAATAGGGGTTACCTGAGCCATAAAATCATTCTTCAACTGTCGATATATCTCTTCAGCATTTTGCAGTAATGTCAGTCGTGAAGTTAAACTCTGAAATGAAAGCAAACTGAACATTAGACATTGCTCAGTGATACAACAACAAAATGCGTCATATAAACATGAAGTCGAGTAAATATATAGAAAAATTAATTTGACGTGCATATTAGATATGTTTACAGCAACAGTAGACTCAGGTCTTACAGAATTGTGAATCAAAAGATCAATAGTAGGCCATCGCCTAATCAGGTAGTTAACGATGTCTTAGTGTTACGGATTGTAATTTCCTGTCATTGAATGAACTGAATTGATATGTCTTTATTGGTATATAGGCTTCTTTGCAGATGAATCGATATTGCCAGTAGTGTCAGTTTCTTAGCAATGATGAACAGTGGCTAGCAGTGGAATCCTACGATGCGCGCTTCATCCTATTTGGGACTCATCAGTTGGATATACCTGCCTTCCAGTGAGTGACGCTGTTCCCACTGAGACTCAAGACTAGGACCGATTGCTTCAAGCGCCACTAGGTTACTGAGTCACAAAAGCTACTCCTTCCTGGATCCCACTGCCAGCAACTGTCCATCATTACTACCAAACTGAAACTACAGGCAATGTCAAGACATCCGCGTAGGAGCTTATATGCCGATAGAGAGTGATCAACTCCATCCAATCACTGTCGAGAAATTACAAGCAATAACATCCAAACTATACCCATTGTATAAGTAGTGGTTATCGTGATTCAGTGGATACGCCCAACAACATCACTCACTGGGAGGGAGGTACGTCCAAAACAAGACGAAACCTGAGTCCTGGATTCCACTGGTGGCCATTGTTCACCACTGCTAACAATATTTTAGCTAGTGAAGTGTTCAATGGAAACATAAAATAAATTCATAATGCTCCGTTAAGAGACTCACGTGGAATCGACTGATTCAAACAGGATTTTCATCACAGCCTGATATCAGTTAGTGCTTCATTAAATAACAAGAAGGACTGAACAGCTGATTCATTACAGTCTGAAAACCGTTGACAGTGTGTATTCAAAAATACATCATCTTTGACGCTGGCAAGATATTCAGACTACCTATTGAAGGATGTGCATACTGTTTTGCAGTTCTTTCTGTCCTTACATACAGCTATGAGACATAGTCGTTGAGAATAGATGTGATGAGACTACATATTTTTGACCATACACGTCATCGTGTATGGTGGAATTACCATGCGAGCGACGACGAGGTCAGCCGAAGGGTACTACTACTGGGCATCCCGAGCTACTTCCCTACTTCGATTTGTAATGCTATCAGAGGTAGAGTTTGGTTGGGAGAAGGTTTAGATTTATCAGACGAAAAACATAGCACTAGTTAATGAATCTTCTGACTGTTACTGAATGTAGTGCAGGGAGGTGTAGACTACCTGGTTGGGATCACCGAGACCATGAGAAATCAATGGTTGCCGGCTCTTGGTGAAATGGTTGGAAATCAGTCATGATGGTGTAGATGTATTCACTCTTTGATATCTTCTGAAGACTGAATATTTTCAATAACCTTTATCTTCAAATTTTTCCTATGCTTATACTTCCCTATCCATTTTGGTACCAGATTTTCTTTATCTACTTGTTCTTTGTATACTAATGTGAATTGTGGCAAAGTGGCAACTTGGACCGTTACGCAGTAATACCTGGTCCTATATTGATATTGATGATGATGAACTGATGCACTTCAATACGAGATTCTATGTTGATTTTGTCTGTCACTGACAATCACATATCGCAATCAAGCTTCATCAGTAATAATCAAAGGCTTTTGATCCACAATTCTACCAACTGGAGTTTTCTTACCGATTAGACTAACAAACTGTAGTCCCAAAAAGAAGAGTTGTTTATATCAATCACCACCTAGCAATAATAAGAAAATCCCTTTATAGATGTGTCTAGTAGGAAAATTCGTCAATTTTTATTTCTTTACAAAGAATGGTAGCTGAAAAGTTTCAGCTTGAAAACCTTCAGGAATAGTAGATAGTTTAGGCTCGCTATCCAAGTCACTCACAAATACAATATGAAGATAAAGTATAGACTGTTATCATCTAAGTGTTACGAAGAAAGAAGGGTCACGTTTTATGAAAGAAAAAACAGGCATAACTCATTCTAAAACCATTCATATCTGCTAATATATTTGACTGCTGATAAAGCGTAAGATATGGGATAGATATTTAGGTGATAAGGTCAGAAAAGCATAAAAATTTATGACATTCGCTATGTTCTTTTGAGGCAGGTTTTCGTATAGAATTTCTGATCCAGTGATTCTGTAAATGATATCGGTATGTGGTTGAAATCTGAATCTTTTACTCAAAAGATGTGTACAACAGTAAATATTGTGTAGCTTCGTATTCCAAACAGTAAATTATTAGTATTATACATCAGTAAGACAAATACAGCATTGTTAACTACACTTAGGCATATAAACTTGCAATTTATAAGTTACATATGAAGAGTCTTAAGATATGAGTTACAATTTAGACTTAGTGAACGGATATTACTAAACGTCAATTAATAATAACTCACTATCATATAAGCAGATGCTTTAATTATGTTCTGGAAACACGTCAGTGATAGGAAACGGCCTAAATCAAAATTAACACTCTAAGTAACCAGCAATTTAGGTAGAAGTTGTGAATTTCAGCCTTGTTTTATGTTACTGTGTAGGTAGGATAAACTTTATTGGAGAATTTTGCTTTACAGCTGACCAATCAGAATGAGTATTCAACTTCTGAACTAGTGGCTTTATTTTCTAGGGAAAGACTGCATACAAATGATGTTTTCTTTTTCAAATAAAAACTGTCTTCCTTACAGTCACACGGTTTTCGCGGCTCAGTGAAGTATGAGGTTCTGAGGGGGAACGGTCGCTATTCGCATCTAGTCCAAATGTCTCATTATGTTAGTAGCATTTTCGTATTTCGTATTATCCTGTCAGTCACTTCTACTCGGTCACTTCAGTCAAACAGAAGAAGTCAGTAAAGAAACTCGAACAGAAGTGTATTGGTTTAAGTTGCCACACTTCACAGTAGCATACAAAGAATGAGTGAATTGGGAAAAAAGCTGATATCAAAGTGAACAAAGAAGTAGGGGATAAGAAACAATTTGAATCTCAAGCTATGGAACCATACTGTGTTTCTGAGACATGCATACAGGACCCTAATGTGGATATTCACTTGACAATACCTTGTCAACTTAGTGAATCCGAAGATTCAATGATTAGCTCTCATGGTCTCACTGGTGGAAGCATAACATTAACTTCTCGAATAAAAAGTACTTTTCTTTCAACAAAAATCATGTTGACACCTCAGTTTGGCAGCTGAAACACTACTCAGCTGTGAAAAATGTCAAAAAGGATCGTGTAATTAGTGAATCATTTGCAAATTAATGAATATACTCGAGGTATATCCAAATCAGGTAGTCATATTCAGTTGACCTGAACAATTAGGCTGTGTGAACTGAATTCGTTCGGGTACACCCTTGATGAGTTCGGTCTCAAACGAGGGAAACAGCCCTCCAGTGTTGAGACGACACTGATCTGATTAGGTAGCTAGAGGCTTCCATCTACTTATAATGTTCAGTAGTATATTTAAACGGACTAAGTGAGTTTAGTAATGATTAGGTTGGTAAGTGAATGGTCGGCATTGCCAGAATGAAGAAAGTGTAACTTGATTTCTGAATAAAACATAAGCATATAGCTTTCAAGCAATGCGTAACATGTTTCAAATCACACTTCACCTACTTCGGTCAGGACGAGCGTGTAGTAGCATAAGTTTTCATACAATGAATATGGTTTAGAGGTTATTACATAAAATGTGTGCCTAATTGAGTTGCACAAATAAAAACAGTTCAAAATGAAAATACAGAAAAAAGACACTTACATTTTCACGATAAGCAGAAAGAACAATCTTCTTAGCTTCTGCAGCGCGATCATTTTCTTGAGTAAAGTTAAGTAGAGCATTTTGCATTGAATTTTCAGAACTAGAGGTGGCTGACGAATGATCAATTTGTCCTAATGTTTCTTGATAAATAGCAAGAGCTATAGGATGCCGGCGAAGTACCATTGCAAGATCTGCTGGCGGTAACTTACTCTGTTCTTGCAATGCTACTACAACCACAGTAATCAATTCAGGATCTCCAGTTTCTACAGCACGCACTAGCGCACGATTATAGCGTGATAATTTTAGAAGTAACGGCACTTGACGCCAAGCACGTGGTTCATACTCTAGTATTTGTTCTGCAACTGTTTCTCGACCTGCTGAAATAGCTTGACTGGCTACATCAGCAAAATCCAAGTGAGGAATAGGAGTATTATGATAGTTGACACGATGATTGCCAGAATTTGATTTACTCTCCGATGAATCACTGAATAACTTTTCAACAATAGCCGCCACACGATCTGATATCAGCGTTGCCGCTCCCGATGAAGTTATTGAACTATTACACGCCCAATGAGCAAGTAGATGTGTAAACGTGCATGTACTATAGTTTCCTTGACTTTCCTCTAAAATACTTCTAGGCCATTTATGCTTCTGATGAATCCGTACAAGTTCAATAGCTATTGGGTAATGACGACGAACTAACAAGCGATCAAACAGTTTACTTGGTCCTAATTCACGAAATTCACGCCATGTCAAAGTGATTCCAAACCAAGGAACAGCTAAACTATTCAACAAACGTAAGGTTTGACAAACTTTTGCCGCATGATCCGCACTGCAAGAAATTCAAATATGAATTAAAAAAGATCAAGAAATAAAAAGATATCACTTTGGATATATATTTGTCCAAAATACAATTTCGAATGAATTCCATGGCGGTTTTTGCTTTAGTGAGGTTGGTACTATAACTTCGGCCATTCAATGAGTACTTGAACTATAAATGCTATGCTCACCGAAGCGAAAAACATATCATTTCCCAACTGAACATGTTCATATTCATGATACCAAAATGAACAAATTACAACCAGATAGCACCCTAAAGTGGATCAGCGAATAAGCCATAAAGGTTGCAAAAAATAAGAGCGGGACAGATTATAGGACAAAAATTCTAACCATTACTCATCATGATAATGAATCTAATAGTCAGCAGGCATTTGTTGATGCAAACAAGTTGCGTATACTTTGGTTAGAGCAAAAAACGGCTCCAGTTACATTTTATTTTATTTTCCTTACATCATGAACGATTGCTTAAGCGTCTGATCTAATCGATGAGAAGTATCACAGACTTTAGACGATACCATATTCCTATGAAACACATATTAAGACACCATAACTAGGAGTGACAATTAAGATAACCAATTACATTCCTCTATTTTATGAAAAAATACTTTCCCAGCCAAAATTTCAAGACCTGAATGGTTATTTCAGAAGTTCCTAGGATGGCTTGTAAAGTTACTCATAACTGAGGTTTATTTACATTTTGAACTGTTGTAAAGGTCCTTGCTTCATGCAACCAAAGATAAATCAGTGACTTCCAAGACCTATTCATCAAAAACTACTGTAAAGTGTAGGAGCACAAAGCCTGTTCCGATCATTTTCACTCAGCAATGGAGTTGATGTGGACTTCCGGATTTTCACCATTCGACTTACCATACAAGAAAAGTTCAAGATAACTATCGAAAAGCGTATGATAATGGGGGTACAATGAACGACTGGATAAATCCTTTTCGATATCAAAAAGTTATTTCATTGTGCGATGCATGAAATTAACTAGAAAAGTAATACATTAATTAGTAAGATATTCTAACACAAATTGGTAGGAAGCCATTGGCTGTTTTCGTGACCTTCGTTTTTACTCTTAATTAATTTCACATTTTTGCCCTTTTCTTAGAAATGCCACATAGTGAAACAGTATCACTTACTAAATAACGTTTCGGACACAATTTATTGTACATATTCATACCAGGTAATTCCACAACTTCAAGACAGACTTTATATATTCCTAATTTTCTCTCCTCTGTGATGACAAGGGTAGTAGGATTTGCCATATATCTGGAACAGGTGCAGAATCATTTCTATTACCATATGTATTCGGTGTTGATTCGATGAAGAAAGATTCGGTTATCAATCTCTCCCTCCATCCAACCAACTAAGTTAGTTTTTTAACGCTGTCGCTCTGTCCCACCCTACTGAGTGACTGTGTGTAATTGCGTGCAGAGCCATACTCGAACTTTTCTCTAAATTTCTTATCTCACTCGGGTCTGCTAATATTGCTTTAATTAAGTTTTTGTGCTCTGTTGTTCTAATCGACCCTGGTCGACTACTTTCACCTATGTATTTGACCTCGCAGTCATTGCAAGGGATTCGGTAAACCAGATTATTTTGCTTAATTGCATCAATAGGATCTTTTAACCTACAAAGTTTGTGTCCAAGTGAGTTTGTTGGTTTGGATGCCATTTTAATCCCAGGCTTACTGGGAATTTTTCGTAATGCTTCTGAGGTGCCTTCCTTGTATGGTAACACAGAAGAGGCTTTGAATTCTCTCTCAACCCTGTCCTCATTATTACTATTAGTAGTAGAATTATTGTTAATAGCATCTGTGTTACTACTACTACTACTACTACTAATATTTTTCTTTGGATTTCTTATGAATTGGTTTATAAATTTAGGTGGGTAGTTATTGAGATGCAGGGTGTTGTTGATGTGTCTAATTTATTAGCAGTAGTAGTAGTAGTAGTAGTAGTAATACAGATGCTATTAACAATAATTCTACTACTAATAGTAATAATGAGGACAGGGTTGAGAGAGAATTCAAAGCCTCTTCTGTGTTACCATACAAGGAAGGCACCTCAGAAGCATTACGAAAAATTCCCAGTAAGCCTGGGATTAAAATGGCATCCAAACCAACAAACTCACTTGGACACAAACTTTGTAGGTTAAAAGATCCTATTGATGCAATTAAGCAAAATAATCTGGTTTACCGAATCCCTTGCAATGACTGCGAGGTCAAATACATAGGTGAAAGTAGTCGACCAGGGTCGATTAGAACAACAGAGCACAAAAACTTAATTAAAGCAATATTAGCAGACCCGAGTGAGATAAGAAATTTAGAGAAAAGTTCGAGTATGGCTCTGCACGCAATTACACACAGTCACTCAGTAGGGTGGGACAGAGCGACAGCGTTAAAAAACTAACTTAGTTGGTTGGATGGAGGGAGAGATTGATAACCGAATCTTTCTTCATCGAATCAACACCGAATACATATGGTAATAGAAATGATTCTGCACCTGTTCCAGATATATGGCAAATCCTACTACCCTTGTCATCACAGAGGAGAGAAAATTAGGAATATATAAAGTCTGTCTTGAAGTTGTGGAATTACCTGGTATGAATATGTACAATAAATTGTGTCCGAAACGTTATTTAGTAAGTGATACTGTTTCACTATGTGGCATTTCTAAGAAAAAGGCAAAAACGGAATTACAGTCTACCATCGTGCCGAAGTTTTACTCCTATAATAATTTTGCATTTCTGACTGAATCATTGATAGTGAGTTTCATTCATCGGACAAAAAACATGATGTAGTATAATATAAGAAACGGCATATGAAAACCTCATTAATCTCGCTTGGTAATAACTCATTTTAGGGTTTGGTGGGCTAGTCATAAATCGAGAGCGATCAACTAGTCGACATTTCTCTCCTTATAAATAATCATCATCAGACCATACTAAGTCATACGATATCATTATAGACGAACTAATTTAGGATAGTTATATCATACCAATAGTAAGCAAAGCATTGCGTTCGCATGGTTTAAGCATTAAATAATTTCGAAAGAAAAATAAAAGCACGTCATTCAATTTACTTCTATTGATGACCTTTTGAAAACAAACGAAAATTTTTTTATTTCTGGACAGGTGTTAAACTGCCTATTAGAGATAAAAAGTTAAATCGATTTTCGTGGAGCGAAATGTGGAAGAACTACAATAACTTATGTCACCAATTGTGTTATCCTGATATACCTTCACTAACTAAAACTTCAATACATGCAATAAAAACGATATGGTGGAGACCCATCCTCTTGAGTTGAGAATTCTTGACAACTTTCCGTTTAATACCAAACTGTCCATATCATTACATTACTTGCGGTCGTGCGAACATGTTTACGTATTGTTGAGGGTAGGGTGGAGTGGATTTCCAGTGAAATGAATACTATCCTTTGATTAAAGAAAGCATCTCGCATTAGCAACACCAACAACATAAAAAAATAGCACATACATAAATTTAATCAGTGTTTTTGTAGCGTTCTGAGCTACGTTTTTTGTCACTCTACGCTTTTCATACACAAACAAACTGTTACAGTGTGAAATACAATTGTTCAGACTGACGAAATCAACATAGAACCTTCCATACAAGTGCATCAGCTCAAGTTGTCACACTTCATAGTAGCACACAAAGAAAAGGTGGATAGAAAAGGAGTGATATCAAATTAAAGTAGTGTGAGAGAATAAATAATCTGAAGATAAAGGTTAGTGTGAATATTCAAGCTTAAGATGTCAAGCAGTGAATACATCCGTGCCGTTGTGGCCGACTTTCAGCCATGTTACCAACAGTCCTAACCAGGCAGTCTATACCTCCTCACACAGCTCAGACTAACAGTCAGAGACTTCATACACTGGTGTCACGTCTTGGTCTCGTCACCCTGAACCCTCTTCTAACCTTACCTGAATTCCACTAGGATTGCACGTCGAGGTAGGGGGTGGCTGAGCATGCGAAGTACGTGTCTAAACCACCTGGATCGACAACGATTCACAACCTCATCAATTGACCTGACTGTCTTACCTAGTACCATTCCCTTGACCTCAAAGTTGCGCATATGATGATTCCACCATATGTGAACAATGCTGTAGAGATATCTGTGATCAAATCCGAGTAACTGCTTCGTGTCTTCTACTTTTGACGGCAATATCTTACAGTCATATAACAGGACAGAACGGAATGCAATGCAGTATATTCGCCTTTTGACAGATAGTCGGATATCTCCTCGATGCCACAGGTGATGTAAGTTGGCAAGTGACAAACGAGCCTTCTGTATCCAACCTGAGATTTCGTCACCAACCAGTTAGTTCGGCCTGATGAAACTTCCCAAGTAAGTGAAGTGGTGGACACATTGCACCGCTTCACTCCTTATCATTATCAGCGTCTCCACCCAAATAGGGAAATATCGTTTGCACATCCCATTCCAATTGTTCAGAACCTTCAAAGGACCTCGGAATTCCTGAAATCCTTAACAACCAGTCGATATCTTCAGAAGTTTCAAGAAAAGATGCATTTTCATATGTATTAATATTAGATTGGTTGAAGAGACTCAGTCAAAAGAAAATGCCCTTCTAGAAAGACTGAGAAACAAAAAGGTTAATATATGCGAGTATATAGGCCAACGGAGGTCGAGGAATTCGATATGATGCAGCGACAGGAAATTACAAACATCAACAAATAAACTGTGGTTTTTTAGAAAGTCTGACGTTGCAATAGGTCATCTGTTGTCTTATCACCTTGATTATTTTCTCATAAATTAAGTGACCAGCAAGGGTGCAGTCCGAAGGTTACTGTTCAAGTACCCATATGCACAAAATTAGGTTATATCATGTAAAAAGAGCCAAATTTAACGGCCTCCCAGTTTGGTGACCATATTGAAAACAATATCGAGGGAATTCCATGAATATTTTGGACTAAAAACTATGACACTATTTGTCCTTCAGTGACCGACCAATGTGTCTGATCAAATCGTACATGTCAGTTACATCCAGAATAACATATTATTAGCATAACTGAGTGTAGCGCTGTAGACCTCTGCTGAGACACTTCTTCCGTTGATAATGGAGATATACCTTGCTGACGAGTGACATATGTAATCACATGACCTACATCCAAAGATTCCTGACAGCTGCTTCCAGCCACCCAATACCTAACAGATAATCTAAATAACATGAGGCTACTTGGTTCCGTGACCAAAGTAAATTAGGGTGATTTTTTGCTACAGTCGAATGTAGTTGCTGCTTTGATCTTCATTATACACACTGGGTGTACGAGAGTTTGCACTACCTAAACAGGTTATAAAATTTAGCAGATAAGAGGCAGAGAAAAGTCATTGTTTTCACAGCATCTGCAAGATACAGGTGACACCTGTTCAACCTTCTCGATGAATTCATAATTAGCCCCAATACAAGTATCAAAATTTTTAACTATGCTTAAATGCACTACAGTAATAAAGAACAACTGAAAAGTATATACTTACAGTTCTTTCACTTTCGCCTCAACTGTACAAATATCAGCAGTTGTACCTGTTGTGTTAGACATAGCCAACAACAATATACGACCTAAGTGAGCAGATTCTAGTAGTTCTTGTTGACAAGAATGATCAATTGTTGCATGACATGCAGCTTCAATACAATGTGATATTGCATCAATCATTTGATTAACTTGTTTGATAGGTAATAAATAATCATTAGTACGCCCACAGCCTGCTTTCAAACTTTTATTTGCTGACATTAACCAAGTGGCTGGACATGATGCACCTATCCGTCCTAATGATTCTAGTGCTGATGGTACACGTTGAAGTAGTTCATGTGATGTGGGCGATATAATCCTAATTCCATCAATCTGAAATGATATAATACAAACATGAAAGATAGCAAGCAAAAATCAACACGGTTGGTAAAATATCTCTCTCAGTAGTTTAAGACGCAAAATGTAAAGTTACGATAAATTAAAATTTTAACAATTTATTTATTTATTATTATTATTATTTGTCCTTTAAATTCCTAGTGAAACACAGAGCTTCAGTAGGACGTCGTCATTTCACTCTCTTCTCTGTAGTCTTCTTAACCTGGCTCCACGACTGCCCACAAGCTTTCATTTCTCCCTTACACTATCTCCTCCATGTCACCTTCGCTTCGGACGCCCAACCCATCGCATCCCATTTGGCTTCCACTCGACGGCCTGGCCTGGTCTGACACGTGATGTCCCCAAATGGTCTTCTCAGTGTATGTCCAGTCCAACCCAATCCATCTCCACTTTCTTCTGCATATTTGTTGGGCGATAGCTTCTTGGTTGGTTCGTTGCCAGAGTGAGTTCCTTGTTGCTTATTCTTTCCGGCCATCTGATCTTCAGTATCGAGCGAGTGTAGGCAGTTGTTGATGATGGATGTTTGTAATTTGTTGGAAATACTTTTCGTAACGCGCCGAATCTCTGAACCATCACATAGAAGCACTGACTTACTTGACTGAACTAGTGTTGAAAATTCGGATCTTTTTCTTCATGCTGAGTGCAGTAGATCTCCACACTGATTTCAGATTAATGAAGGCCTATCTGGCTTTTCAAAATTTTAATAATTCTGATTCATGTTTAAGCTGAAATACTATGGCTACATGGTGATTTATAGCAGAAGTGAATTTTCTGATCTGCCTCTATCTACAGGACAACCGCCTTTGGCAAACTTATAACCACTTAAATGAGCTAATAATTACACCGAAAGCTAATGTTCAACCTTTAAACAACAATTATTTATCTCTAAAAACCTAATCTATCAAGAGTAAACAGAATTTGAAACAGGTGTATCACCAATTAAAAATTAATTAGGTATATAGATAAGGCTGTTGAAATATGCCATGATGAGTATTTCAGTCAAGTTTTTTTACCATTGTGTCAAATACTACTTGTGAAGCTATGGTTCACAGATTGAGATACCTGACTTTAACCAGAGAGTCACGGGTTCCAGCCCCATCCCACCTACTAAGTTTTGGGCAACCAGGTAGTAGTATCATTAGCACCTATACAGTAGGTGTGGCTTACTGCCTGCCTATTGCACGGATATTCACAAGGATGGTGAGTGCATTTCAATATTTTTTAGATGCTAGTAATGTAGAAGTAAATAACAGAAGCCTTTGTGACACTGATAACATAAGACATTCAACTGACTGTCATTTGAAACTAAAGTCAGTGGTAATACCTTTGAAGTATTTAGCTGGCAAATGATTGACGATTATAGCATGTTTTTAGTCATAATTGCATAATAGGAGGCTAGTTCCTTAGTGAACTTCACCTGCTTTTGCTCTACCATTAGAGGAATATGTAAAGTAACTACTGACTGTGTTGCATATAAGTCTGTTAGTCACCTATTCTTTTCTTTAATATAAATTTACTTTATCAGATTGGTGTGCATAGCTACGTTTAGTGAACTATAATTATTGCCCCACGTCCTATACTAGGACGAAATACCTGTCCAGTGCTCCTAGACTTGAAATGGTTCCCTAACTGGTGTCAGTCCGTGAATAATAATGATAAAAATAATACAGTAATTAGATCTGCTGAGTTTTATTTCTAGCTTTTCGTAACGCGCCGCCAACTCTCTCAACCATCACATAGAAGCACTGACTTACCTGATTGAACTAGTTTTGAAAATCCGGATCTCGTTCACACTTTATGCTGAGTGAAGTGCAGTGCAGTAGATCTCCACACTGATTATTTCAGATTAATGAGGGCCTGTCTTGCTGCCTTTCCGATCTTGGCTTTCACATCCTCATATGTGCTGCCGCCTGTAGTTGAAAAGATGATGCCTAGGTGGGCACGTAGATGGAAGACACAACTTCCTTTACATTTCTCCCGTTCATGGTAATTGGTGCTTCTTGTTGTTGGTGGTGGTGGTTGCTATCTTCATCACCTCTGTCTTCTCTACGTTCACCTGAAGGAAGTCCCGTCTTCTTTCGTTGCCTCGACTCACCTCTTCTGCAAACTTGTTAGTTTCCGCCCGTTAGTCTTTGAGTTTGTGCGACATTAGATATAAATCATCATCGGCGAAATCCAAATCTTTTACGTTATTTTCATTGGTCAAACAGCGTATGCCCATATTGTACATAACATTGCCCAGTGTATTTTCATCCTTTTTTTACAACCGATTTCATAATCAATTCCAATTTCATCTCTACAGTTTTATTATCTAACCGAAACCTATTTTAGTCTTAACCATGTTAAACGTTTAATCTTTTATTTACATAAGTGACTTGGCACATACACTTACGTAATCCTTTCTATTCCATGTTTTACATGTATTGCAATGACAAAATGACTACATAAGAGTTGGATTACTTTGAATATAATCGTAATCTATTTCATTCGCATATCCCTAGTTTTTATCAGTCCTTCATATTATCTTTCAATAACGAACTATCTTTATCTTGATAACTAAGGTATGTAGATTGCGTTCCTCTGTATATTTTTCATAATTCCTATAGACTGTACGCAGCTGAGGTGATGAAATACTACTAATTCATGGTATTCAGCGAAAATTCTTGTACTTGCTTTCCAAAAATTAGTCATTCGTAATTTCTAGTCTCGATGAGAAATTTTCTTAACAAATTAAGTGACGCTGTAAGCAGCTGATGAGAATCATTGGGATAAAATGACCTCGTTTAATTCTAGTCCAATCATTGTTCTCGCTCTGTCCTGTTATACGGCTGTAAGGCATGTTCGTTTAAAGTTGGAGACATGAAGTGGTTACAAGGATTTGATCACAGGTGTCTTCTCAACATTGTTAGTGTTTGGTGGGATCACCGTGTGAGCAATGTTGAGGTCAGGGAAAAGGTACTACGCAAGACAGGTAAGTTGACTGATGAGGTTGTGAAAATTTGTCGACTGAAAGAGCTTGGACATGTATTTCAGATGCCAAGCCATCACCCACCTCGACGTACCATGATAGGGGAAGTTGGATTAGGTTGGAAGAGGGTTCAGGGTGACCAGACGAAGACGTGTCACCATTCTATGAAGTCCCTAGTTGTTAGTCTGAGCTATGTGGGGAGGTGTAGAATGTTTGGTTGGAGTCCCTGAGACGACATGAATCAGTGGTTGAGGAGTGTTGGTAATATGGGTGAAAATCGGTGACAATGGCGCAGATGTATTCATACTTTGACGTCTTCTAAAGCTTCAGTGTTTTGAATAACCTTCACTTTCAAATTCCCTCTCCTCTGAAACACCTTTGTCTACTTTTATATCAGTCTTTTTCTATTCACTCTTCTTAAACTTTATCTTCTGATTCAAATCTACAAAAGGATTGAATCATATGAGATTGGAAATATGAGGTTAGGTGTTCATAAGAATACAAACGGGTAACCATGTATGGGTGTTCATACACTTAGCTAGCACTTAGTAAGTCAGATGATGCAGTACACCGTTGGTCCATAAGGCTGGAACAAAAGCTTAGTTATCGTAGGTTTAGGGTGAAAAAAGATTGAAATTGGCGAGAGTAAAATAAGGTATCAGTGAATGAAATCATTGACTGTTGGCTAAGGCAATGCAGAGATGTGTTGACTTCCTGGTCGGGATCCGTATAGCAACCAAAATTGGTTCTTAAAAACTATACGTGATATGGCTGATATGAAGTGTGGCAAAAATTAAACCAGTACGCAGTAATTCTAGGCCCCAGGTTGATATATACTGATTGAATTACATTCCTAATACAATAGACATAGTGAGACGGCATGGTAATACAAACGAACCAACGGTACATGACAAGTTAGATAACTAAACTAAACAAATTTTAATGAAAAAAGTAACAACACCAAGACTAGAAATAGTTACTACACAACGAAAAATTGAAAACAGATTACAACACTTACCTCTTGAGATAAGAATATATCATCAGGATAAAATGTTTCATAAATATCTGATTGTGACCCTACAATAGCAATCAAATTATCCCATTGAAGAACCACAGCGGAATTAGTTAACCATAATAAAGATTTTGGATGATTGAATTCACTTGATTTTTGATCAACTACTGAGTCATTGTTACTCATCAGCATTACTGATATACGTTGTGTTAGATCAATATATGAGTGTAATTCTGTAAATCGTGTATTTGTAATCAACAATTCACCATTGCTTAAATAAATTGCAACAAATTGCATATTCAAAGATACAGATAATAGATGAATATCAGCACCGCTTGACTTTGTAAGCTTAGATAAATCAATCTAATTAGTAGACAACAGAAAATATGAAAGAAATAAAGAATTCACTGATAAAGTAGTACAGTAAAAAAATCATTATCAGTATCAACAAAGAACTAGGCATTACTGTATAACCGTCCAAGTTGCCTAACCATATCCGCCAACTTGGACCGCATAAAATATTGTCTAATGTGTATGTCAAGTAGGTATTCATCATGGACTGATATCAGTTGGAGAAATATTGGAAACCTGGAAGCACTGAAGAGGTGTTTCATCCTAACATTGGACTCTTCAGCAGTGCGTACTTAGAGCATCCTGTTTTATGACTAATATCAGACCATGATGAATAACAACTTCAAATCAATGAATAAATCCCCACAAACCTCCAAACTAAATTAATATGTATGTGTAAGTATGAACGCGCAGCATATAAACAAGCTAAAAAGGAATCATAATCAGTTACAGTCCCCATGTTTTACTTCTGCAATCGCTAGTTTGACTGAGGCGGAGAAGTCCAACAAGCAGTTAACACCATCCACTACGAAAAATACCACTGATAAGGGCAAAATCCCTAGACCAAGCAATAATTTATCTATTTGTAAACTATCTCCTCTTCTGCATTTCACTCCATTCACTTCTTGTGCTTTGTATTCTTACCTGATTTCTTATCAATCCATCTATGTCACTTCTTATGTTGCTACAAATACTACTCATTTGCATTCATATGAGTAGGTCTCACTACGAAGGTAATCGAAACACCACAATATAGTTTTATAAGCTTACGATCCACCTCATCAACTGATCACTTGAATTGATGAAGCTACACTTGTTCAAATATCCAGATTTCTGGATTCTAGCCAGATATTTAGAGGAACTCAATATATTTTGAATAAAGTTCTGGATAAAAAATTAACACTGGTTGCTATGACTAACTAAAAAGTATTTATTATCGCTGTTAACAATCACCTTTTTCTGCTAACAACTATATTATATGGAAATCAGCCAAATTTCGTGTTAGCTTAGTTATATTTTCCCAAGATGAGAGAATATCGCTGAAATCGTCCAAGATATGTGTGCACAGATCAGAGCGAATTTTCGGATTTACGATAAAAAGGTTAATAATATAAACGTTCAACAACACTAACAACTTGTGATATGTTGGAAAAACATCGGGAATCTAGGAGCTCTGGACAGCTGTTTCGTCCTAATATAGAACTCCTCAGCAGTGCGCGCCCATGACCCCAGCACCCCCAGGAACCGAACCCAGGACAGTAAGGCCGCATGGACAGCATATTACCATTGAGCTAATATGTCGGCATCCAATAGTCCATATTTCCTACTTTTATCAGTTCATGATATAGCACGATCTCCATCCAATGTCGTCACTGAGTAACTGTCTTCATGTTCTACTTGGTTGACCTCACTGGTCGTGACTTCTCATTGGAACTTCAAGAATTACTTCTCGAAGCTAGTCACCAATGAACACTAGATTGATTCAATTTGGGGGTTTGTGGAGATTTACTAATTTCAGGTTAGTGTTCATCATGGATTGAAATTAGTTGAAGAAACAGTCTCCAAATGATGTCGGTCCATGATGAATACTAACCCAAAATTAATAAATCTCCACAAACTCCGAAACTGAACTTGTAATCTGTTAAAATCCCAAACGTATTACGGAGACGTAGGTTAAAAACGTAGGAAAAAAAACACTTACATTCCCTTGTACTGTCTTCCCTCCATCAGATGTCGCATATTTAACAGAAAAAATTTTTCTGGTAGTATAAAGGTCAACATAGTGATATGGAATGGTTTAATCAATTGTAAAATCTGACTGGAATTAAGTAACCCGTTCTAATTGTATTTCACATACTGCGAAACAACGTATTATTGTCTTTATCTTTTTGTACCAATGCTGGGTTTTAGTTATTATGGATGTACCAATCGTAACGCTACACGCACTAAACCGACTAATATACATCCCTAAAGGTCATATATCGAAGGAAATTAGGCATTTAACGAAAATATGTTGAAAAATACACGAACAAAAGTATAGGCGACTTAATCAAACTGTCATAAATAAAATACTGAGTGATGATTGAAGGTGGAATGAAACTTTGGACCGCGGCCGGATTCGAACCAGCAACTACCGAGTTTCCAGCCCGATGCTCTACCAACTAACCTACGAAGTTCGACTGCTGACCAAATTTTCATTTCACCTTCAGTCATCACTCAGAATCAATACCAGTCTATCAACCCATGGCTGCTATCTCAGATAGTCAAAATGATAATCAGTATGATGCTCCCACTCTCTAGTTTAGTTACATTTGGATTGAGATGAGAAGTCCTGACTAGGCAGCCAGTGTGAATACGATCACGAATTCATACGGTAATCGGGCAAAACCCTGCCTTGAGATTGAAGTGAAATAAAAATCTGCTCAGCAGTCGGAACTCATGGCTCAGTTGGTAGAGTAACAGACCGGAAACCCGTTTGGTTGCTGGTTCGAGTCCTGCTGCGGTCCGAATTTCCATTTCACCTTGAATCACCACCCAGTATCAATACCAGTTTGCCAAATCACGGCTATCTCAGATAGTCAAAATGATAAACAAAATAGTTGATGGATAGACCGACGTTACACGCCATCGGTAGACCGTTTATCTAAATTCACGGAATTGTGGTTATTAATCGTCAGCTGGTCACGAAGACAACAAATATAATGCACAAACTAAGCGACCCTATCCTTATATAGCATTTATAGAATCCCTAAACTGATTTAATCTTCAGAAACTATCCGGAACCTTATAAGCATGATGAACATAACACCCAATTTATCAAAGACAGTTTGGCCTGCTCTCTTAAATACTGATTTATGAACGTCTTATTATCTTGCTAAGCAAGACTTTCGATTACAATAGAAGTTGAAAACATTCACGATGGAAGTCAAAGATGGCTAACGTTACGTATGTTTTATTATTTGTTAATACATGTGATTCCCAGTTGATATACTTGATAGAAATGATCAACCTCTATTGACGCGCGTTTTACTCCATTTGGGACTCGTCAGCTGGATGTACCTGCACCCCAGCGAGTCAATGTGTTCCCAGTGAGACTCGAACCCCGTATCCATCACTTCAAATTAAACCGTTATTCACTAGGCTACTGAAGTACAAAGGCCACCACTTGTGAAACAGCCATTAGTTATCATTATTTTATGATACTTGTTATTCCTAGTTGCTATACTGGATCGTTTTAGCGTTTAAAACGATAGACACGGCGTTCAAGTCCCCCGGTAACACCACCACTCACTGAGGTAGAGGTACATCCAGCTAACGAATGTCAAAGAGAACGAAATGCGCTTCCTGGATTCCCCTGCAGGTCACTACGAAACAAATTATTGGATACAATAGCGATACAATTGTGGAAAATACTTCAAGACAAGACGACAGTAATAACGAGGTTGTCACTTAACAGTGACTTTAAACTGAGTTTTTAACCAAGCTACGAAGCATATATATATATATATATATATATATATATATATATATATATATATATATATATATACGATGAGAAAGTTTGTGGATTTCAATAGCTGAGTTTTTACAGTTCACGAGACAATCAGATATAAAACTTCGTGATTAGGATGGAAAAAAACTCGATTATCTTTATGGTCATCCGAATTAGTTGACGAAACTTTATAAAGATTCTGTTGTTGTTCTTTTATTTTAAATCACATGGGTGTCCTTTGCACTATTCTCCGAAGGTTATTACATCAAAGTTTATTTCTGAATTTATCTTCCTTCTAGTTACAGTCATTTTTTCGATGGGAAACCTTAAATTCCAGTACTTGGGTACTTAACTCTTAGATGAAATCTGGAAATAAAAAGTGAATAACCGGGTCAATTATTTAAATTAAAAGAAACACAAGAAAAAACAGTTGAGTTCACTTCAAATTCACAATGAAAAAATTCAATGATTTATAGCTATAAGCGCTTGCTTACACTTTCAACTGTTCCACAGTTTGCTCGATACAAACTCCTTTTGCGTGCAATTAGCATCCATGGACTTCGGAAAGAATCAGATGTCCCTAAATCAAGAGGTGTGGTGATAATACTCCAATGTGACAGACATTGTACTGGCCCAGGTAATTCAGCAAGACGTCGCATACGTGGTGTTTCAATGCTGGTTGTCAAAAATATATGGTTCCCACCAGTTAGCACAGCTATACCTGTGTTCTAGAAAAAAATTTTAGTAGTGAGTTAGAGAATCACATATATAAGTAAAGTATAAGCTGTTTTAATAGATGAAATAATGATTATAAAACAGTTTCCCTCATCAATTGTAGTCTATCTCTCATCTTGCTGCCTTGTATCTTGATATGTTGATGTATATTGTGGCAACTTGAATCGTAATCCAGCATCGCGGAAACATTTTAAACACCTCAGTAAAAAAAAACACGTCGACGTCTGTGCCTTGAACAAATCGTTTATATGCCAACCTACTTGTCTCATCCCACTCTGCCAGCATATGCCCGATGAAGAATGTTGTCCAGAGTTCAAGGAGAAAGATGTTTTCAAATGTCTTAAATCCCTGAACCCTTTACACAGTTCAGGTCCGGATGGTGTGTCAAGCTTCCTATTCAGGATATGTGCTGATATTTTGTGCCATCCCCTAGCTAACATGTTCAATAGATGGTGTTTAGAAAACACCATAGCAGCTACCTGGAAAGATATTAAGGCATTCCCCGTACCCAAGTTAGGCAATTCAAGCGCATATCCAGAATTGCGTCCGATTGCAGTTACTTCAGCATTCTTGAAAGTAATGGAGAAGCTTATAATACCTGTGCTCGAGCCCTCACTGAAGGCCTTCAGAGACCCTAATCAATTTGCATATAAAAGCAGAAGAAGCATTTTAGATGCTACCACTTTCTTATATCACGATATTACTTATAGTCTTGATAGAAATGCCAAGTATCTCAGGTATGACTTTTTAGACTACACTTCGGCATTTGATTATGTCCCAAGACCTCTTTTACTGCACAAGCTAACCGGGACAAATACTGAGTCCGGGATAATCAGCTGGCTGCATTCCTATTTCTCTGATAGGAAACAACATACTGTTCACAAGGGGAAGCGCTCCACTTCATTGTTTACTAACTGGTGTTCCGCAAGGAACCATCCTTTCTCCCTGTCTATTATTTTTCTTTCTGTATGACTTATCATCTTTAGCTGTTATTAACTTCAAATATACTGACTACCTGACTGTTTCCATACCTATCTCCTCTTCAATAAATTGTTCACAACTGAGTGATTTCCTATCTGCTGTTAGACGATGGTCCTTCGAAAATGGTCTTATGCTTAATTCTTCAAAATGTCAGACCATAAATTTTAGTTTTAGATGTGAACATAACCTGTGTAAACTGCTTAGTTCTCACGATTTCTGTTTTATTGATAGTTGTGCATTAGAAAATGTTAAAAGTATGATTTATCTCCGTGTATGTTTTTCTTCGGACCTCTCCTGATCCTTTCATATCTTATTAATTTCCAAAAGAATTTCCCACCTAACTTTTTATGTTAGGAAGCTGAAAGTATCTAGTGTAACTCAGCCTCTCCTCTTGTGTTTTGTAAACTCCTGCATCTTGTCTCTTCTCCTCTGGTGTTCTCCCTTAATTTTCCCCGGATTGCTGAAAAAAGACTATGCTTTATTGCACAGAATTTTGAAGATTGTCAGCAGAACTAGTAGTGTACCCATAAACCTTCCTATTAAAACAGTTGTGGACAAACATATTAACTCATGTAAACATCTGGCAGGAGTTATTTTACCAGATGACCAGTATCCTCTCTCTCTCCATGTCGGTCACCTAGAAAGACAAGGAGTAAGTACTTAAGACTTTATGGAGGTACTATAAAATATTAAAACCCTACAATATCGTATTCAGCTCGTACCGTGTGATAAAGTATTATAAATGAACTAACTAATCAACTTCTGTTTCTGAAAGCAAACTAATTGATGAACCTAACTACTATTGTGATTGTCGACCTAAGTTAACTATGCATTTTTAAGAAAGTTGTAGGTAGAATATTCCTATCTTTTGTCTATAATTTCTACTTGTTTCATTTTGTTATGTATACATGTACACTGTCTCTACCCAACTGATGCCATATGACACGTTAAAATTTTTGTAGAGTATTCTCGAAGTAGCTTTCAGAACAAAGACATCATTATTATCACTATTATTATTATTATTATTGCACTCCATGGTAATAATGACTAAGTGATACCATTAAAAGTTTTAGAAAAACCACTTTTAAGAAACATAAAATTCCACGAATTCATGACACTTAATTATGCTTCATGTAAGCTAGCAGATCTCCCGTTTACATTAAGTAAAGTATACCAAGCAGGTAGAAGTATTCATAAATGCTAGGTCGAAAACTTATCAACAAATCATAGCATCTTTGACTAATTTTCCCAAAAAAATTACTATGAAAATACTCATGTTTGGTGGTATCTCTTTGTAAACTGGTCTACAATTCAGTTGTTAGGTAACTTTGTACTACATAACACAGTGCTTCCCAACTTTCCAAACTACATGGTGCTTAGGTTAAAACTGTCTAAACGATTCCCCTTCAAAATTTATAATTCATCATGTGAATTGTAAACATAGGAAATGCAGAAATAGTAACAATCAGCTGGAAATATTTCCTTCTACTATACATAAACATGTAGATTGACACATCCACTATATTACAGCTGACATTTCAGCGGGCAACACACCTTAACTAAGTACTTAGTAGCATCTTTAAATGACCTCAGATTTAAAAAAATAATATCAGCCAGTTAGTGCAAACTGTTCAGCAGTGAATACTTTCATATGAGTATGCCTGACGACCAAAAGAGAGCAGTAATGAAATATGTACGGAGTATCCAATTTCATTCGAAACGCTTCAGCATCCAACACTTAAGTTACAACTCACAAATTCTTGTAGTAAGCTATGAAGCATAAATGTTATGTGATTAGCTAGAAAATTATTTTCAAGTTACGTGAACCAGATTGAAATTTTTCATTGTTTAGTAGTTTTTCAACAACTTAACTGCAGTGTCAACACGGTTTTCGTTAGAAACAGCCCAACCAAGATCACAGTGTGTGATCTGTGATATAAACGTGTCATGAAATAAGGAATTATACTACTGAACACATGAGTAGTTACGAACCACTCAGACAGATCTGTAGATTTCGTTAAACGGCCATCTGATGTTTATTGTTATTATTTATTATTTTTCCCTCGGGTTCCTAGTAGAACATAAAGCTTCAGTAGCACGTCGCCATTCCACTCTCTTCTCTCCAGTCCTCTTAACGCAGCTACACGACTGCCCACCACCTTTCACTTCTTCCTCACACCAATCCCTTCATGTCACCCATTCCTCCGACGCCCAACTCGTCGCATCCCATTTGGCTTCCACTCGACGCCTGGCTTGACGCATGATGTCCCCAGACCGTCTTCCCAGTGTATATCCAGTCCAACCCAATCCATCTCAACTTTCTTCTTCTGTATATATTCTAGGCGATAGGTTCCTGGTTGGTTCGTCGCCAGACCAGAGTTCCTTGTTGCTTATTATTATTCTGACCATCTGGTCGATCTTCAGTATCGAAAAAGCGCAGGCGGCAGCTGTTTATGATATATATATATATATATATATATATATATATATATATATATATCTGCAGTTTCTTGGAAATGCTTTTCGTAACGCGCCGCCAATTCTCTTAACCATCGCATACAAGCACTGACATACTTGACTGAACTAGTCTTGAAAACCCGGATCTCGTTCACGCTTTATGCTAAGCGCAGTGTAATGCAGTAGATCTCTACACTGATTTCAGATCAATGAAGACCTGTCTTGCTGGTTTTCACATCTTCATCTGTGCCGTCATCGCCGCCTGTAGTTGAAACGATCCTGCCCAGGCAGGTAGGTGAAAAAGACAACTTCCTTTACATTTCTCCCGTTCATGGCGATTGGTGCTTGTCGTTGTTATTGTTGTTGGTCGGGTATCTTCATCACCTCTGCCTTCTCTACGTTCATCTGAAGGAAGTCCCGTCTTCCTTCGTTGCCTCACCTCTTTTGCCAACTTGTTAGTTTTTGCCTGTAGATCCTCAAGTTTGTGACATTAGGCATAAATCATCATCGGCGAAATCCAAATCTTCTACGATCTTTTCATCGGTAAAAACAGCGTATGCCTATCTTCTCGCTCGTCAGTTTTTTGCACGATCCAGTTCAGTCGAGTCAACCACAATCAGGAAGATCACCTGTGATAGTAGGCAACCTTATCTTACTCCTGTCTTCACTTCGAAGGCATCACTGAGCTTTCCATTGGAAATCACTTGGCGTGTGGGACAGTCATATAGCTGATGTTTAGCTTAGTCCAATCTGGTTAACGAAATCTGTAGATCAGTCTACGTGGTTTGTAACAAACAACACTAAGTGAGTTACTTTACTCTGAGTTGGTAGGCTTTTTCAAATCTGACTGGTGAGTAACGAAAACTTGTGCTGTATACAGAATACACCGTGGTAATCTCACATGAAACTGTTTTACCACTAACACGAAGAAAATGCTTCATCTATGAAAATCTGATCTCACAAATCAACTATATACACACATTTAAGAACAAGCATGTACTGGATTGAGAGGAATGTGAAAACTGTACAAACAAACTGGACATCTATAACAATTTACACACATTATCCACAGTGAATAACTTAGCACTAATAATTTCTCTCTCTTCAGCTTCAGGTCCCATACTGAAACGACGAATAAACTTCCCTTGAAGATCCAATACCGTGGTGAATCCTGTTTTTTGTATGACTAATAAATCTTCAGACAGTGTCCATCCAACCAATATTGCAGGTGCGTCTTTCCACTAAGAGGAAAAGTAAAATGCAATTTCTTAGCATACAGATAGAAAATCAACGTAGAATCTCGCATACAAATTCATCGGCTCAAGTCACCACACTTCACAGCAGCATACAAAAAACAAGTGGATGGGAAAAGAGTGATCTTAAAGTAGACAAAGTTGTGACGGTGATTTCACCAAACGCTAGCAGTTCTATGAAGAAACCTGTGATCAAATCCTTGTAATCGCTTCACGTCTTTTATTTTTACGACCATGTCTTACAGCCGTATAACAGAGTAGAACGGAATGAAGCGCAGTATACTCTTCCTTTGATAGACAGCCAAATATCTCGCCGACAATTCAACAGAGCACATTGGTTAAATATAGAAGGGTGTAAGTGTAAGCAAACGTAGATATCTAGTGTCTGTAGTGAGGATATTTCTCATTATGATTATGACAACTGTGTACTTGATATATAATTTTCGAAAACGTAATATCCAAAGAATAAAGTCATAAATTCAGATACACAAAAACAATATGCTTAATCTGGCCTAAGCCTTAAGTCTAGAATTGGGATGGTTAACAGCTAGTAATTGAATAAACTGATTTTAGGATTATCAACCCATCCTTCCTCTCGTATTGGCTGAATGCTGTTTGAAGCCTATATGGCCAACACATTTCTCGTACGTTGGTGATATACAATGAACTATACGTAGAACAATAAATACTTGAAGTCAATTGCAAAGCCGTGGAGCATACTAACGGAAGACGAGCTTTATGAAATAGAGAAGAACGAGTTTGGAACATAGACCTCTTTCAGTATTGGCGAATGCAGTGAAGAACAACACACAGGTCCTTATCAATTGTCGAAACAATAAAAAGCTTCTAGCCCCAGTGAAAGCACTAGATCGACATTGCAATATGGTGCTAGAAAACGTCAAAGAGGTGTGGACTGAAGTACCTCGACCCGGTAAAGGCAGAAAGAAGTTCAAGCCAGTGAATAAAAAGCAGATTCATCAGAAAATTATTTTTGCGTGGTGACTCTTGTTATTGTCCTTCGCATTTCACTGGCTACTGCTGCTGTAGTTGCTGCACCTAGATCATAGCATTATTCTAAATCATTTTATAATTCTGTACCAATATACCTGAAGTAGTCTTTGAACGGCGTAAAACTGAAATTACTCATACCCAGGAACAGTAGGTATAAAACAGCAGTTTCAGATTACGTGATATTTCAAAGAGTAAACTTTTCGTTACGTTACGGGTCATGCAAACTAAGTACTTAAACGAACATGAATCCAAAATTAACGGTGAATTTTAGCAGTAACCAAAACTCTTTATTTGTATTATCATTTATACAAAGAAACTGATTTAACAGTCCAGTTAAAAACCACGCACTTAAAATTGACGAAATATGCCCATTTATTCATGAAAATCCAGATCTTGTTCTTTGTGCTGAGGTGCAGTCGATCTCCACACTGATTTCAGATTATTGAAAGCCTGTCTTGCTTTCCCGATCTTGGCTTCGACATCCTCGTCTGTGCCGCCGTCTGTAGTTGAAACGATACTACCTAGATAGGTGAAAGAGACAACTTCCTTTAAGTTTCTCCCGTTAATGGTTATTGGTGCTTGTAGTTGTTGGTTGGGTATCTTCACCTGTCTTCTCTACATTCACTTAAAGTCCCATTTTCGCTGCCTCTTCTGTAAACTTGTTGGTTTTTGCCTGTAGATCCTCGAGTTTGTGACATTGGACATAAATCATCGTCGGCGAAATCCAAATCTTCTACGGT